GACACCCTGCAGCTCGGCCGGTGCCCCTCACTCCCGACCCGCAGCCCTCTGGGTACCCCGACACCCTGCAGCTCGGCCGGTGCCCCTCACTCCAGACCCGCAGCCCCCTGCTGGCCCAGCCCTGGCAGGTGGTGGCCGTACCTCAGGAGGTGTTGATAACTGTTGTGTTGTTGTGTGTTTTTTTTCTCGTGTGTAAGTCTGTGTTTGTGTCTGTCTCCCCCCCGCTCCACATCTCCTCCCCACACACAGACGGGTTCACCAGCGAAGGGGAATATCTGGAAATCACCGAGATCAACAGGCAGCAGGCCGGGGAATACGAGTGCGTCACGGCCAACGGCGTCTCTCTGGCCGACAGCAAGAGGGTCCTGATCACAGTCAACTGTGAGTCAACCTTTGGGCTTCCCCCTCTAGGGGGCGCCGGCTCCCGTCCAGCCTCAAGGCGGAGACTGGCTGGCTCAGTGGGGCAGGCAATGGAATATGGGGCCTTTCCCCTCTAGGGGGCGCCAGCTCCTCTCCTTTAATTCCTTCGCTTTCTCCTCTCAGACCCTCCCACCATCAAGGACGTGAAGGACGCCTATCCCCCCATGGGGAAGCCGGCACTGCTGAGATGTGAGGCCATGGCCGTGCCCCCTGCCGAATTCGAGTGGTTCAAGGATGACAAGCAGTGAGTGACCCTCCTTCCTGGCCACGCCTACCCCCTCCAAGAACGGGCCCCGTTGGCCTGCCCCAGGGGTGACTGACATCCAATCAGCGACCCTCTGGCCTCTCGTTGGCCATGCAGCATCATGTGATCTGTGATAGACTGAATGTCAAAATTCCCCTCCCAGTGAGATCTGAGCTGTGAGAGTCTCCTCCAGGAACGATTTAATCCCCTTTCCGGGGCTCTCTGTCGTTGCTGAGTTTTTGTGTTGGTTGTTGGATGATCGTTGCTACGTTGGGTTGGTTGATTGATGGTTTGTTGACTTGGTTGGCTGTTGGTTTGTTGAGTTGGTTGAAGGGTTGATTATTGGTATTGATCTGTTGGGTCAGTTGGTTTGTGGGGTTGGTTGTTGGACTGGTTGGTTGATGATTTGTGTAGATGGTCGGTTGTTGGTTGGTTGCTGGGCTGGTTGATTGATGGCTTGTGTAGGTGGTCGGTTGTTGGTTGGTTGTTGGGCTGGTTGATTGATGGTTTGTGTAGGTGGTCGGTTGTTGGTTGGTTGATTGATGGTTTGTGTAGGTGGTCGGTTGTTGGTTGGTTGTTGGGTTGGTTGATTGATGGTTTGTGTAGGTGGTTGGTTGTTGGTTGGTTGTTGGTATGTTTGGTCAGTTGGTTGGTGGCTGGTTTGCAGGGTTGGTTGGTGGGTTAGTTAATTGATGGTGTCAGGGCTGATTCCCCACTCTGGCACTCCGAGTGCAGAAGGTGGAGGCCTGCATGGATTCTAAACATTAACACCGGCCACTCCAGGCTTGTGTTACACTCCCAAGGTTACAGCTTCTCTCTGACCTTGGCTTGGTAAACGCTGCCACCACCCAGAGGATACAGAGGAGTCCACAAGCCAAAATGAAGAAATTAACCTGATCGTGTCTATTTAAACATTCCCTGTCCCAGTGATTCCTTCTAGGTATGGAAGCTGAATTTTCATACCTGGTTCAAACCTTACACAGCATTGCTGCTATTAGCATGGCTGCTCCGTGTCTCCCCAGGCCATTTGTTTGATGGTGGTAACGGGTGGCAACCAAGTGGTTCACCCCATGAGCTTCCCAAAGACGTTTCATGGTCCCTGCCAGGAAGTTGGTCCCTGAATCCGTAAGGATGTCGGAGGGCCAACCTACCCCGGCAAAAATGTCTGCCAATGCCTGGCTCACGCTTTTAGCGCTGGTGTTGCTTAGAGCTACTGCTTCCGGCCATCAGGTGGCAAACTCCATGAAAGTCAGTATGTACTGCTTCCCTCTGAGTGTCTTCTTAGGGAAAGGACCCAGAATATCCACAGCTACTCGCTGAAATGGAACCTCAATTATGGGAAGTGGCTGGAGAGGGGCTTTGACCTGGTCTTGGGGTTTTCCCACTCGTTGGCACACCTCACAAGACCGGACACAGGTAGAAACATCCTTGCCCATTCCCTCCCAGTGGAAGGACTTCCCCAAACAGTCCTTGGTCCTGTTCACGCCAGCATGGCCACTAGGGTGATCGTGGGCTAAGCTCAAGAGCTTTTCCCTGTACTTAGTTGGAACTACCAACTGTCTCTGAGGACGCCAGTCCTCCTTGTGCCCACCCGAAAGGGTCACCTTGTATAAGAGTCCTCCTTCTATAACAAAAATGGACCTATTAGAAGAGCTGAGAGGCGGTGGATCGCTCTGTGCCGCCGTCCAAGCTCCCTTGAGTCTCTCATCCGCTTTCTGCTCTGCCTGGAACTGCTCCCTTGATGCTGGAGACATCAGTTCCTCGCTCGGTTGTGGACTTGGGCCTGGTCACATTGGAAGTGATGCAGGTGATGGGGGGTGTCTCTGTCGAGTGTGAACCGCTCTCCACCAATGCACTGGGTTGTATTTCAGGCTCTGGTTGAGCCTCTTGCGCCGGTGTAGCTGCTGTGGCAGGTGCAGGCTCTGTGGGACCCTTTGATGCTGGCTCCCCTGACTCTGGTGGGGTTGCAAGCACAGCTCTGGTGCTGACTCATCCGCCCAGTTCCGATCCTTGGGCTGGTTCTGGCTGGGTCCCAGGAACTGGAATTACAACCGCTGCCATAGGCTCTGGTCTGGGGTCTGGTTCCACCACCTCTGGCTGGGTTCCTGTAGGAGGCTCAGGAATGGAGTTAGCTGTGGAGGCCTGTTTAGCCTGGCTGCGGGTGACTATCCCCACCCGTTTTGTTAGCCTCACGTGGTGGGCTAAGTCTCCTCCCAGCAGCATGGGAGTGGGATAATCGTCACAGACTGCAAAAGTCCATAGTCCTGACCAGCCCTTGTACTGGACAGGCAACCTGGCTGTCGGCAAGTTAAAACAGTTGGCTTACAGGGTTGCACCGTCACTTGGGCCTCCGGGTCAATGAATTTGGGGTCCACCAGGGATTGGTGGATAGCTGACACCTGTGCTCCAGTGTCTCTCCACCCAGCAATCTTCCTCCCGCCCACACTCACAGTTTCCCTTCGCTCTGGGGGTATTTGTGAGGCATCTGGGCCTGAAGGCTCTTGGTGGGACCCCAGGGTGATGAGTTGTAGTCAGCTGGTGCTCTTGGGGCAGTTGGCCTTTACATGCCCCAGCTCATTACATTTGAAGCATCGCCCAGCTGACTGTGGGCTGGGCTGAGGTGGGTGGTTGGAGAGTGAGGTAGTGGGACAAGAGGGCATCGGGGGTCTCCATGGCTGTGTGGAGGTCCTCTCCTTGTGAGGTGGGGCTTTGGGCTGACCCCAATGGTGGGGGTTGTCTCGGGTTGCCCCTTCTGGTATCCGCACCAACTGCTACTAGCTTTCTTCTTCTCCACCACCTCCACCCATTTGGTTCCGATCTCCCCCACCTCGGTTACAGTTTTGGGCTTCCCATCTAGGATGTACCTTTCTATTTCCTCAGGAACACCCTCTAAGAACTGCTCCATTTGCATTAGGAGAGACAGATCCTCCAGAGATTTAACACTTGCTCCTGATATCCAGACATCCCAATTTTTCCCAATGTGGTGGATGTGTCGGGAAAATGCCACGTCTGGTTTCCACCTTAGGGCTCTGAACCGCCGACAGGCATGCTCGGGTGTTAGCCCCAGTCTGATTCTGGCCTTGTGTTTAAAACATTCGGACCCGTTCATGTGTTCCTTAGGCATGTCAGCTGCCACCTCTGCTAAGGGGCCACTGAGCTGCGGTCTCAGCTCCACCATATACTGGTCTGTAGAGAGGCTGTACCCAAGGCAGGCCCTTTTGAAATTTTCTAAGAAGGCCTCTGTATCATCGCCTCCCTTGTATGTGGGCAATTTCTTGGAATGGGGAGCGGTCTGGAGAAGGACTGTCAGGGCTACGGCTTAGCCCTTTCCAGCGCTAAGCACTTCAGCTCTAACTCCGCCTCCAAGCGCTTCGCCTGTCTCCTCTCCTCCGCTTCCCAGCGCATCATCGGTAGGAAGAAATCCCTGTCTTCCGCAGTCAGAACTCGGTCTGTGTTAAGGGCATCCCTCCAGCTTGGCACCATGATCTCGGTCGGGGGGACAGCTGACCCTTCCCTCCTGGGAAGTCCCCTTTTCCCCCATCCCCTCCCTGCATTCCCGTTATGGAGCTGGATGTCTGGGGTTGATCTGGGTCTGACTTCTCTGTGCCGTGCCGCTTTGGGAAACCTGGTCATTCTAGGGTTTCCATGCCTGAGCTCAACCTCATGCACAGGCTGCCCTACTCTAGCTTAACTATTTCGTTGCCACGAAGCTAGAAAAGAAAAGAAAAATAAACGGCTTGTTGGACTCCCTGACTTTGCAGGCTGATCCCTTGGCCTGTTCCCCCTCAGGCAGCAAAGAGAAGAAAAGAAGGGAAAAAACCTCCCTGACTTTCAAGCAGCCAAAAGGAAAAATGTGTCCTTTTAAAATCCTGAGGGCTGTGCTTCTGGTTCAAAATGATCCCACTTCTGCCACCATGTCAGGGCTGAATCCCGCCCTGGCACTTCGAGTGCAGAAGTGGGGCCCGCAAGGATTCTAAACATTCATACAGGCCACTCCAGGCTTGTATTAAACTTCCCAGGTTACAGCTTCTCTCTGACCTTAGCTTGGTAAACGCTGCCACCATCCAAATGCAAAAAACCCCTTGGACCCACAAAGGGGCACTTGGGAGTTCCTCCCTGTGGGGCACCCTCAACCCTTTCACCCCCCTCCGGGGAAGAGCTGAGAAGAAAACAAAGGAAATTAGCTGCTGCTACCAGCTAATCAAACAGCATAGGCACAAACCTCTTAGGACACCAAAAATCCAAATCCTGTTCTTAAAAACGGTAAATTTTATTAAAAACAAAAAAGAAAGAAAAAACATCTGGAATTTAGGCTTTTGCTAGATTTTAAAAGAGCAATTCCAAAAATCAAGCACCCAAAATAGCTTTCTTGGGGGTTCATCTGAAAGGTTACAAGCAAACAAAAGCATCCGGGGTTAGCACAGAGGGGTCCACAAGCCAAAATAAAGAAATAAACCTGATCGCGTATATTTAAACATTCCCTGTCCCAATGATTCCTTCCAGGTCTGGAAAATAATGTTTCATACCTGGTTCACACCTTACACAGCATTCCTGCTATTCGCATGGCTGCTCCTGTCCCTGCAGCCCAGAGAGACCAACAGACAAAGGGAAAGTTTCTTTCCCCATTTTATAAAGTTCTACCTTCCCATTGGCTCTTTTGGTCAGGTGCCCACTTTTTTTTTCTTTACCTGGGGGACTTTTTAACCCTTTTCAGGTAAAGCAAGCAGGGAACAGACCAAGAGGGATTTTACAGCTAACTGGCTGGCAGGGAGCGCCCCCCCCCCCCTTTTATTTATCACAGGTGGTTTGTTGAGTTGGTTGTTGGTGCGTTGGGTTGGTTGTTAGAATAGTGAATTGATGGTTTGTTGAGTTGGTTGTTGGTGTGTTGGGTTGGTTGTTGGGATTGTGAATTGATGGTTTGTTGAGTTGGTTGTTGGTGTGTTGGGTTGGTTGTTGGGTTAGTGAATTGATGGTTTGTTGAGTTGGTTGTTGGGTTAGTGAATTGATGGTTGGTTGAGTTGGTTGTTGGGTTAATGAATTGATGGTTTGTTGAGTTGGTTGTTGGTGTGATTATTGAGTTGATGGTTGGTATTTTGGGTCATTTGATTGTTGGTTTATTCAGATGGCTGGTTGGCTGTTGGGTTGATTGTTGGTTTGTAGGCTACTATTGTTGTTTGACACCTGAGTTCCTTGTCGATTGGTCAGTTGGCTGTTTGATATCAGGGTTCTTGGTGGTTGCTAGTTTAATGGTTGGTTGATCTATTGGGTTGCTTGGTGGTTTCCTGGTTTTGTTTGGTGCATTGGTTGTTGGCAGGTTGGGTTGTTTGCTGGGTCTGTGGCTTGTTTGTTGGTTAGGTTGGTTCTTGGGCTGGTTGTTGGTGTGTTGGATCGGTTGTTGGTTTGGGGTTGTTGGGACGGTTGTTCGGTGGGTTGTTACTTTGTCAGGTTGGTTGTCAGGTGCCCCTCACTCCCGACCCGCAGCCCCCTGCTAGCCCAGCCCTGGTCTCCCCCATCTCTGCCGGTGCCCCTCACTCCCGACCCGCAGCCCCCTCTAGCCCAGACGCTTCTGTAGTTTGTCATGTTTCATGCTGGTTTGCTGATAAATCCCCTACCAGGTGTGAAACTGTGAGATCTTGTAATGCTCCCCCCTCTTTGCCTCCGACCCAGCAGACTCTTCGGGGGCCTCGAGGGGCTGCGGATCCGGAATGAGCGCACGCGTTCCATGCTGCTCATCGACAACGTCACCGCTCGGCATTATGGGAACTACAGCTGCCTGGCCTCCAACAATCTGGGGGTCTCCAATGCAAGCCTGCGGCTGATACGTACGTCCCCCTGCCCTGTACAATGGCTGGTCCCGCCCACTGTCATTCACCGCTGGCCCCGCCCACCATTCCCCACAGCCCCTCCCACTGTCCTTCACCACTGGCCCCAACAGCCCCGCCCATAATTCACAGCTGGCCCTACCCTCTATCTTTCAAGACTGGCCCAGCCATAAACCCCGCTATGGGGTATAGTAACATTTAGATAGACTGTCCTGGCTCCCAGCCCCCCTGCTCTAACCACTAGACCCCACTCCCCTCCCAAACCAGGGATAGAACCCAGGAGTCCTGGCTCCCAGCCCCCCTGCTCTAACCACTAGACCCCACTCTCCTCCCAGACCAGGGATAGAACCCAGGAGTCCTGGCTCCCAGCCCCCCTGCTCTAACCACTAGACCCCACTCCCCTCCCAGACCAGGGATAGAACCCAGGAGTCCTGGCTCCCGGCCCCCCCAATCTAAACCACCTTCCTCTAAAACGCTAAAGGCCAGTGAAGTACTTCAAATGCTTCTGAAAATCACCCTTGGTGCCCCCAGGCCCTTGAAAGTCTTGTCCCTGGTTTGAGATCCTCTTTCTTCTCTCGCCAGGCCCCGGTTCTCTGGAAAACGTAGCCGTGACCGGGATGGAGTCCCCCTTGTTCCTGGGCTTGCTGTCGTCTGCCTTTGTGACTCTCCTGTTTAAGATCTAGCGTGTTCGGCAGACGCGGCGGAAGGAGGGGAGGCTCGGGCGGAGAGCGCGCCAGAGAGACCTTCTCCTTTCCGGGAGAGACGAAGAGAGAAAACAAAGAAACAAATCCTATCGAGAACCCCAGCACTGTGAGGGAAACGTGAAAAAAGAAAAAAAATAACGACAAAAAAAATATGCATTTCTTTCTACGGCCATTTCCCGTCACTTTCATCCCAGACACTTCCAGCCGGACTTGTTCTAAAAGGACAAACAAACTGACCTGCAAAGACACAGGGCTTTCAAGGGTTAACGGCCAGTGCTTCTGTGCCCCGTGGGGGGCCCCACAATAGGGCTTGTGGTGAGGGGTTGTTCCCCTGCTCTGGGAGAGTTTGCGGTTCTCAGCTGCCGTGACAGATGAGCTTCGCTGGCTTTTGCAGATGTTGGGAGCTGGGCCTGTCTGTGCCACACGGAGTGTTCGAGTGGAGAATTTCCCTCGTTTGGAGCTGAAAAATTCCTCAGCGAACAACGTTTCTTGGGCTGAGAATCACCCTTGTTTACACAGGTTTTGGACTCTGAATTTCCTGATTTCATGAAGCTTTCCGGGCTGAGATTTTCCTTGGTTTACACAGATCTGAGGCTGAAAATTTCCTTCCTTCGCAAAGGTTTTCGGGCTGAGACTGATCCTTGTTTACACAGGTTTGTGGCTGCGAATTAATTAGTTTGCAAAGTTTTGGGGCTGAGAATGACCCTGGTTTGCACAGGTCTGAGGCTGAAAACACCCTTCGTTCACAAAGTTTTTTGGACTGAAAATCCTTAATTCACAAAAATGTTTGCGCTGAGACTGACCCTTGTTTACACAGGTTTGAGGCTGTGAATTTTTCTAGTTTGCAACCTTTTGGGGGCTGAGACTGGCCCTGGTTGACACAGGTTTGAAGCTAGAAATGTCCTTAGTTCACAGAGTTTTGTGGGCTGAGACTTCTCCTAATTCACACTGGGTTTGGCTTGAGAATCTCCTTAGTTCACAAAGGTTTTAGGGGCTCAGACTTTCCCTAGTTTCTGCAGGTTTCAGGCTTTCCTTGTTCACAGGGCTTTGTCTTTACCCCAGTTCTGGGGTGCAGATTTATTTCCTTCACGAAGTTTTCTGGGGTGAGAATTTCCCTGGTTTACTGAGCTTTCGGGGTGAGCCTTTCCTTAATCCGGCGAGTTTTTTGTGAATTTCCTTAGTGAACAAACCAACCCAAAAAATACCCCCCTTTTAGCTGTGAATTCATAGAATCGTAGAAGATCAGGGTTGGAAGGGACCTCAGGAGGTATCTAGTCCAACCCCCTGCTGAAAGCAGGACCAATCCCCAACTAAATCATCCCAGCCAGGGCTTTGTCAAGCCAGGCCTTGAAAACCTCTAAGGAAGGAGATTCCACCACCTCCCTATGGAAACCATTCCAGTGCTTCACCACCCTCCTAGTGAAATAGTGTTTCCTAATATCCAACCTCGACCTCCCCCACTGCAACTTGAGACCATTACTCCTTGTTCTGTCAACTGCCACCACTGAGAACAGCCGAGCTCCATCCTCTTTGCAACCCCCTCACTTAATCCAGCGATTTGCCCCAGAAGGAATTTTTTCAGCTAATAAATTCCGTCGCCTGGCAATTTTCATCGTTCACGAGGTTTTGTGGCCTGCAAATTGCCTTCAGCCGGTGCCGGTTTTGCCTGGGAATTCCCTGGGGTCACAAAGTTTTGGGGGCTGAGAGTTTTCAATCGTTCCCCCCCCCCGGCTTGGAGAAGACAGAGTTGGAAGCTGGCTGCCGCCTGAGGATTTGAATTCAGCACCTTGATTCTGCTCCGTCCCGGCACTCTGGGCACGAGGGGGCTCACACGCCCCTCTGAGCTGGCCGGCTCCCCAGCTCTGGACGGAGGAAGGCTTATAGCTGAGCGTTGAAACCACCCGTCTCTTCGGCTGAGGAGATCCCCTTCCCTCTCTCCGTGCATGGTGGGGCGGCTGGTCAGGTCCGAGACGTCTCATCTGCTCCTCTCCCTCCCCGCCCCCGAGCCAGGGTGAGTCAACAGGGAGGGGACTGATTGGGGTGGGCTTCATGGGGCTCAGGCTTCGAGCAGTTGCCTGGAGGGTGCGTGGGGGGGGGGGGCTTGGCCTGGGGCCTGACGAACGTTTGCAAAGTCGGTGTCGTCGTTCACAAAGTGGGGACCTGGCGGCGGGAGACCGGGAGACCCTACAATAACGAAGGGGCCCACTCAGTCCCAGCTGCAGCAATGATGCACCAGTTTGACGATCCCCTCTGCTTGTGGGAGACGTTAGAGTAACAGAATGCAAATGCAGTCCTGGCATTTATGAGAGACCCTACAATAACAAACTAGCATGTGTACAGCCTTGTCCTGC